GAGAGGAGAGGAGAGGAGAGGAGAGGAGAGGAGAGGAGAGGAGAGGAAAGGAGAGGAATGGAGAATGGAGAATGGAGAATAAGAAAGGAAAATGGAAAATGGAAAATAAGAAAGGAAAATGGAAAATAAGAAAGGAAATGGATATGGAAATGGAAGAAGAGAGAGGAAAGGGGAAAAGGAAAGGAAAAAGGAAAGAAGAAGAAGGAAAGAGGAAAAAGGAAAGGAAAGAAAAAATGAAAGAGGAAAAAGGAAAGAGGAAAAGGAAAGGAAGGAAGGAAAAGGAAAGGAACAAGGGAGACGACACGGGGAAAGGAAGGAGGAAAGAAAGGGGAGAAACAGAAAGAGGAGTGGGAGAGAAAGTCAAAAATCACGAAAACAATTTTTCTCAAAAAATAAGAAACAAATTAAAAAAGAAAAAGAGCAAAAGAAAGAGGAAAAAAAAAAACAAAAACAAAAACAAAACCAAACACGAGAATGAATGAAAGAAAGAAGGAAAGAAAGAAGGAAAGAGAGAAAAAAGGTGACGGAAAGAAACAGAACGGAAAGAAGGGATGACAGAAAGCGGGAAAGAAAGAAGGGGAAAAGAGGAAAGAAAGGAAAGGGGAAAAGAGAAAAGAAAAGCGAAAAGACAAAGCCCGAAAAGAAAACCTCCGCCTCATCCCCGATCCCCGCGGCAGAATCCGACCGCCCGCAGCCCGGAGCCGCGCCGAGAGGAGCGCAGCAACAGGTCTTGGTGCGGGGCTGCGGGTCCCGGTGCGGGGCTGCGGGTCTCAGTGCGGGGCTGCGGGTCCCGGTGCGGGGCTGCAGGTCTCAGTGCGGGGCTGCGGGTCCCGGTGCGGGGCTCACCTTGGAAGCGGTGCCCGAAGAAGCGGTTGCGCAGCACCCAGGGGTAGAAGTTGAGCGGGTCGCGATGCTGCGGTCCGAAGAAGGAGTGAGGGTGCGGGAGAGGCGATGCTCCGAGCTGATGCGGAGCGACGGGTAGAGCCGGGTGCCCCACGGCTTCGGGGAAGACGAGCTCGGTGCCGCCGTACAGAGCCCGACCGGCGGCTGCGGCCCCTTGGAAACCGCCGGGGAAAGCGTCGGAAGAGGCGGGGGGGGGGATAATTGAGGGCCGAGGGCCGCAGGGGTTCCTCGGGGCTCAGCGGGGTGTCCTTGGCCACCAGGGACTCGATGGTGAAGCAGCGCTTGGCGGACGGCTGGAACATGGTTTGAGCTCGGGGGGGCCGCGGCGGGGCTGTTCCTGCGGGTGCGCGCGTGTGTGTGTGTGCGAGAAAGCCCCCCCCCCCCCCCCCCCCCCCCCCCCACCCCCCCCCCCCCCACGGGGCCGCGCACACGCGCACCCACCGCCCGCACCCCGCGGGCCGCCCCCGTACCCCGCAGCCCCGCAGCCCCGCAGCCCTACAAATAGGGCCGGTACCTGGCG